TACTGGGCAGACACTGCTCTCCAAGCTGCCAGGCTGCATACTGGCAATCAGATCGGTATCGGCCGATATGGCTGGCTAATAACTGGCTGTTGGTATCAGCCAAAAAAATCTTTATCAGTGTACCCCTAATGAAACCCCAAGCAAAGTTGTCTAGGAAGAAATCTGACTGTCTTGGTAGTTGTGGATTCAAACAGCCTTTGAGCATTGGCTGCTTTTCTCAGAGCATGCTGGTCCATTTGAAAACATGCATCACCACTCTGCCTGTTTCTTCCTAGAACATCAGGCACACTCGGAAGGTGGTGAACCAACCTCCACGAAGTCCACCAAGTCCCTACTGCTACTGATTAAGTGGTGAAATAATTCTGACCCAGATCCAGACTTAACACACTCAGCACTGTGGGGCCCAACACCTAACTTTACAGTAGTTAGCCCCAGAAGTGGAATCCGGCACCCTAACCTGCGTGCCTGGGTTCACCACACAGTGCATGAGATGGCACCTCAGAATAGGAGCCACAAAAACCAGCACGCTGAGGACAGTGGTGGATCTTGAATTCTGCCACTCATTGGGTGGGGAGTACTCTGCAGTTCCTGGTAAAGCTCTGCTGCTCTGCCAAGAAGAATTTAAGATTATTTGAGCCAGATGGAGCACCAACATACATGAGGAAACACGGCTTCCTATCCTACTGGTTAGAGCAGGGGTCAGCAACACCTGCCATACATGCTAGAGTGTGGCTTGTGAAGGCATGTTGCTTGGCACATGCACCTCAGGGTGGATGGCAGGGAAGAGGCTGGGGTTGCACCATCACCGCAAGGATCAAGCTCCTTGCAGCTTCCCTGCTGTCTGCCCCTGGCATGCCAACACCTTGCAAATCAAGGTTGTGAGTACTTTTTGGTACTTTGTCCAAAAAACTGACCCCTAAAGTTTAGGGCCTTTATATGAGCAAGGGCAAGACTAGGGGTCTTGTCCCTGTATTTTACTTTAAGACAGTGATTAGATAAAATGCATAAGATAGTCCTTGAAGCAGGACTAGGACCCAGGGCACTCCCATCCTTCCCCTGCTATATCCCTTTTAAAACCCAAGTCCCATACCTTGGTTTTCATGATGGTAAATCCATCTACAGCCGCACTTGCCACTTCACTTTTATTTACAGCTTATAGATTTAAGCCTCAGTTTGTTTTTAATCAAGGAAATAAATGAGTTTATAGGAAATAGGAACAGCCAGGTCCTGTCTAAAGAGAACCCAAAGAGGACAGCAGGAACAGCCATTTCCTCATCCTGGCTTTCCAACATATTCTTTCAAGCCTTTTTGAGAGAGATCTGCATAAGCAGAATGAGGGGCTTATAGTGCTCACAGCCCCCACAACATCTCCAGTGCAGATGTGTGTAAGCTTGTTCCACATAAAGCTAGAAACTCAGGCAGGACCAAGATGAAGCCCTATATGCACAGCCAGGCCAAAACAGACCAGCCTTTAAAGGAAGCAAAATACAAAGAATCATTACCTTGATCCTCTATTTCTGCCAGCATACTGGCCAAGTAGTTAAGAGGCAGAAACTCTATGCGAATGGACATCCTGTCAGGTATAGGTCGGCCACGCTGTAAAAGAGAAAGTTTACGTTAGATCACAACTATAGTAGTCTACCTTACACATTCAGTTACAAGTGGCTAATAGTCCATGTAAGAATTTTCATGGATGTCAAAACTATTCAAGCTGAAAGTTTTAAAACAAACAAACAAACAAAAACCAAAAAAACCCCCATCTGCACCACATTCTTACCTGTCTGGTCCCAAGTTTCTCAAACAAAAGTTTAACATAGTTCCTTGCAATAAAGTTAGAAGTGACAGGGTGATTCCACAACTGACAGATCTTTTGGCCAATTGCCTATTAAGCAAAAACAAACAACAAAACAAAGCAGATTCAAGGCTGTGCAGAAAGTTTTGTTGGGTAGCAAAAGCAAAAAAAGCAGCTCGTTAACTTGAGTTTCACATTTTCTCCCTTGCCAAAACAAAAATAAATAATTTCCATTTGAACTAAACAAGATGTTCAAGTGGAACAGTATTTTCAGATATTTATAATAAAATCTGAGGAGTCAGGACTACAGCAGTGGTCTCATCCCTTTCTACCCAACAGCTAAATGGTTGGGGCAGTTACTAAAAGTGGCAAGTATGAGTGGAAAAATTTGAAATCAGGGCATCTGTTTCCTAGCAGGATAAGATGGGTTTCAATCTCTCTTTCTGTTTGCATAAATTATTTCAATATTCATTGAACCAGAAAGGATCACACCTCTTTCTGGCTCAACATGCGGCACATGAACGTGAAAGACTTAAGAGAAACCCACACTAGCATCCCCTGTAACAGAGCACTTAGTCCTGGGAGAAGTTTGAATCTTCTCAAGCAAAAAAGGAGATCTAAACCTAGGTTTTCCACTTCCTGAACAAGCCTTCTGACCACTGGGTAATTGCAGATGTGAGGAACCTTCCCCTTTACTAGTGCTGTCTTGCAAGTCTGGCCTTTTGTTTCTTTACTTCTTATTATAAGTACTCAAGAATGCAATACAGGAATGTTAAAACACTGCAACATTTTCTGAAGAGACTGTTTTATGACATCATTTTTGCTTCAGCTGAAACTATTTGGCGAATTCAGCCTAAATTAAAAGCCTTGGCTCCACATAATTGCATTTTTCAATAAAAGGCATTCTAAAAAAAAAATTCATCTAGGTCTAAACAGATAGGATGCAGTACCAACCCTGCTGCGCTCAAGTGGCAGCGGCAGCGCCTTTTACAACAGAGGCCTTGTGAACCAGCTCCTCAGCACCAGAGCATGCTTGAACCAATGTGTTCTCTGGGTCCGTGCTGCCCAAGGGCTACCAGCTCACTGCAGAGTCCACAGCCAGCTTCCACTGACTAAAGGCTTCCCAAAACAAGATACAGAAGACAATGACTGTTTTGTAGGGGGGTTTCTGTTGTGTTTTTTTTTAAACCACGGCCAAATAAAGAAACCCTTTTTATAGGAACATTCAGCTGGTACTTCCAGTAGTTTAAAATATGTAATGAATGAAAAGCACATATCTAGGGTCAAGCTAGGAAAAGCCTGTAATATACCAAGACACTGGCACATGAGCATCCATGCGCTACAGTGTGCTTTATTACACACTGGAAGTGCTGCAGTTCTATGGCAATGATATTTTTTGTATCCTTGTGGTGCTCACAATGTGCCAGACATCCTGAAAAAACAATGACAGTGATCCTCAGTTCAGGATATAGGCGTCTCCTAAAAGGTACAAGCAATAGATGGAGGAGTAGGACAAACAGTATACATCTCACATAAATCTCTAAACAGAAACTCATGGCCTGAAGTTGAAGGTCACCACACTACAAGAAGAGTCACATGGAGCTAGTGGAGCTCTTAGCAAGAAAATTCTGTATAACCACATGGGAAACTTAAATTCAAACGTCTCTTCTTGTTTCTCATTAAGCTGGAAGGGACGAAAGTGTATTGCTCGCTTCCCAGCAGGTACTCCTCCAGATCTTCAAGGAAAAAACTTGAACAGGCTCTTGAGAACACCTCCCTTTCTCTGCCAGATAGAGCCCTTCACTCCTTTCTACATCAAGAAGAACGTACCATGGTAGAAATACTCATTCCTTCATAAACAAGGTCTATGGACTTCAAACTGAAGTTGAGTTTTGCATTTCAAAATAAAAAGGAACAACTCACACTGCCAAAGACAACATGCATTTAACATGTTTAATGCAAATGAGGAATTGCATGAATTAAAGGGAGCTGCACTCTCCATAGGGATTTATATTTCAAATTAAATAAAGCTAAACCTTATCCTTCTTCTCTCAATGTAATATTTCCCACCTTTTCATAGATACTCAGATTTAAAGAAAATGTAAACGTAGCTACTACCTTGAGGATACAAGAAAAATTAGTTTCTTAAGTCTCAAACTGGCCTTTCCACATGGATGAATTTCATAAGTGGACCCAAAAACATCACACAAGAAACATCATGCAAAGTTACCTCTGGAAGCCTTGTGACAATACTAAATTTTAGCTTTTCGTTCTTCTCAGTGTTGTCCAGATCTGAAGGAAAAAAAAGAGGAAAAGTATCAATGATAAACTGCCAGACTACAATTTTTACTTACATGCAAGCATTCTGTCTAAAGGTTAACTCACTAACAATATATATATTATTTATATATCACCCTTCCAAACAAAGGCCCAGGAGGCTTACAGTAAGAGGAGAAAATAATTTATGAAACTAGAAAGCAACAAGAGAATAAAATAACTTAAAACGGAACTTTAAAAAGTACTCCTGGTGACCGACTTCAACTATAAATTTGCACCTTGTACTGATATACACCCCCATCCTTGAGATACTAACTGGAAACAACAGGATGTGATACCTGGACCTATTTTATTTTTTAACTCCTAGATAAATAGCATGTTGTGAGGGAGTGTGGTTGTGAGTTTGGGTACAGATGTATATTTGGCCCAAAAGTAACGTGGCGGTCTTGCTGCATTTCATAAATACTACTCCCCCATCCATTACTTGTATCCTTTAGGAAACGCCTATATCCTGAACTGAGGATAACTGTAATTGTTTTCTCAGGATGTCTGGCACATTGTGAGCACCACAAGAATACAAGTAAATCCCATTGCCACAGAACTGCAGCACTTCCAGTGTGTAATAAAGCAGACTGTAACACTCCTGGTGCTCTGGTGTAGCGCCCGAAGACTGGAAGAAGGCCAATGTGGGGCCTATCTTCAGGAAAGGGAGGAAAGTGGATCTGGCTAACTATAGGCCCATCAGCCTGACTTCTATCCCAGGGAAGATCTTAGAAAAGTTTATTGAATAGGCCATCCTTAATGGACTGGCTGATGCCAACACCCTAAGGGATAGCCAGCAGGGGTTTGTTGTGGGTAGGTCTTGCTTGACCAGTCTCATTTCCTTCTACAACCAGGTGACCCATCACCTGGACAAGGGAGAAGAGATTGATGTCATATATGTTGAGTTCAAAAAAAGCCTTCGATCTGGTATCCCATGATCACCTCTTGACAAAACTGGTCAATTGTGGCCTTGGGTCCACCATGATCCGCTGGCTGGGGAATAGGCTCCGTGGTCGGACCCAGAGGGTAGTAATTGATGGCAGTCACTCATCGTGGTGTCCTGTGACCAGTGGGGTCCCCCAAGGCTCTGTCCTTGGACCCATATTGTTCAACATCTTCATTAACGATGTGGACATTGGAGTCAGAAGCGGACTGGCCAAGTTCGCCGATGACACCAAACTTTGGGGCAAAGCATCCACACCAGAAGACAGGCGGGAG